ATTAATTCCTTTTCTCCTGTATCAAGCTCTTTCATAGTTTGAATATATCAGAAGTACCTGCTTTTGCAAGTTCTCATGCCTTAAAAGAGTTCTGCATGCATTATGCCATAGTTTTTGTGTGATATTGTCTTGAAGCAGTGCTTTACCATGCTTCCAAGCCTGTCCCTCCATATTTTTTCTCTCTCTTAACCAGGGGCCAGATGCTTCTACTTTCTTTTTTCTTTTAATAGAAAAAGATTATCCAAACATAATCAATGAAATGGAAGAAATGCAAATTCATGGAAAGGAAAAAGCAAAGGATGGATTCAACTTTCGATGTACAGAGGCTAATAATTTTTCAAGATAAAAATTAGAATAGATAATTACAAGCTTTGAATTAACTTCAAACCAAATTTAACATTCATTTATGTAGCTGACCCCCAATTTATTTGGGATAAGTTTTTGTTTGAAGTCTTTTTAAGCAAAATGAAGAATAATCTTTCTAAAATACTCTTTGTTGATGCTCTTATATTCATACAACTATATGATTGGGTATTAGTTAACTGCAAAACTTGTATGTGTCCATATTTTTACTGTAAGGTCAGTGTAACAAATATGGTTGTGCTTTGGTCGCAGACATTACATGACTGTGAGAATATCCTGTCCCAGCATGATGAGGCAAGCTGGAAAGATTCTATTCCATCAGGAACTGCACTTTGTATCGATAAATTTAATGATGAGTTTTTGATTTCAATGTCTGATGATATTCATACTCCAGTAACTTTGGCTGCAATGTCAGAGCCATTGAAGACCATCAATGACCTTCTACATACTCGTAAGGTATTTTGGTTTCAGTTGCATGATTAAGCAATTTTATTTGTCAGTTCAATTTTTTTATGGTGGTATATATCTAAATGCTTGTTTTCTCCTTCATTTCAAATCAGATAAGTATTTTTCGTAGATAACCTAAAGCATGGATGAGATAATAGACATAGTTTCCCGAAACGATAAATCATTATACTAATTTACAATGTCCTTTTTGGCAATGTAGTCGTTTCTTGGATTTTAACTTAACTTTTGATATCCTTTTCAATTATGGGGTATAATTTATTCTCTCATTGAAAGTTGAATTAGGCTTATTTGTGTCCTTTTATGACCTGTGTTATTTTCAGGGCAAGAAGCAAGAATTACGAATAGAATCACTTGCAGCTTTAGAAAATACTATAAGAAATGTTCTGACTGTTTTGGGACTCTTGCCAAGTAGTTACTCAGAGGTAATAACTCTCACTCTCTCTCTCTCTCTCTCTCTCTCTCTCTCGTACACAGCCCTCCACACCAAAAAAAAAAAGGAAAAATATAAAAACAAACATTTGTTTGTGTGCACGCATTTATGTGGGGCCATTGTGATGTTCTCTAGTATTTGATGCTGTATTTAAGTTACCCTTGCATTTTAGTATTCATATTGCAGATTTTAAAATCTTTTGAAATTTCTAGTAACTCTCTTTTTATTGCATCTGCTTCTACCATGTAAACCCATCCTGCGTTGCTCTTCACTAATGGTATCATTTTTTTGTGGCTCACATTTTTTAAAGCTATCTGTGGGTTTTATTTCAAAATTTAGGCCCTGACAGGCATTATAATCCTTAATCAATGAATAAAATTGATTTTGAGCTTATGGTTATACATGTTCCAGGCTTTGCAGCAGCTGCGGGATTATGCACTAAGGCGCGCAAAGTTGACAGAAGATCAAGTGCTACAGAAGATTGAAGAAAGGAATAGTGCAAGAAAAAATAAGCAATATGAAGAATCTGATGCAATTCGAAAATATTTGTCAGATTTAGGCATTGCACTCATGGATAGCCCAGAGGGCACAACTTGGAGACCAGCTATTCCTCTAGCTTTACAAGAGCAGCAGGTACCAGCAAGCTGAATCTTCTTGGAACATACGATTTCATAACGTCGCAACGAAACATACAAGGAATCCTCGGTTGACTCTTCAAATGTGTGGAATAGGATCTGGGATTTCACCATGCAGTTTATTTTGTCGGTGTATTTTAGTTGATAAACAGTCATGCCTGATGAAAATGCATTCACTTATTCTGAAGCCGTTTAACTGTGTTTACTGTAAGCATGATGAAATTTTATTCTATTCTTAAAAATAAGCAATTTTCACCAGTGCATTCTATTGCTTCTAGTTAACGAAGTTGGTCATCTCGTGGACTCGATTTTGAACCCAGTTTCTTGGTGGTAGAGGAAAAAAATTCCAGAGGCTCAGATTTACCAAAGTCATCAATGTACAGAAAATATGAATAGATAACAAAATTTCTGCCATGTAACGACATAAATTGACTGTGCTGACATACATGCAGGAGCATGAATGGTGGGTATTTGAGCAAATACAATTGAGAAAGGAGATACAATTAATGGTTCCGAGAGATTTAGGGCTCATTTGGTTGGGGCTTCTGCTTCTCGTATCTCTATAGTTAGACAAAACACTTATGAAAAATTATTAAAATATGTTCAAAATTAGCTTTTTAATTTTAGAAGCGACTTTTAACTTTTTGAAAACTCTGTCAAATGGATCCTTACTCTCCTAGGTCCTAATCTTCTTGTCTCAACATTTACTAATTATCGTACATTTTCTGCTTTGAATATCATTAAGACGAGATTATGGAATACAATGGAGGACGAGATTGTGACATTCTTGGCTCCTCCATTGCGCTTGAGCATGGACCAAGATCTATGCATGGTCGATTTGGATCTGGGTTGGTTGTGTGCTTGACCCGGGGTCGGCCCAATATCAATCACAATTACAAAAGTCAAAATCTTGGAAGAGTCATTACTCAACAAGTCATAATATTATGCATGGAAACCGAATTTCAGTTAAATTTATAATTGGGTTGCTAAATTTTAATTAATTTGAATTGGACACTAAACTTCAATTTAATTTTCAAATTTCATCACTTCCATCATATATCGTCTCCCAAATTGATTAATATTTGCTTAATTAATATCGTATAATAACAGGCATGCTAACTTACTGTTACACCATCTTAAAGTGTGAAGATAATCTTAGAATACCTTTCAATATTTTACTCTTCATTTGACAAAATTTATAAATTATTTATAATTGTTAAAAAAAGTAACATATTTCAATGAATCCGCGAATACAATTCATTTATTCGCTGCTCATTTCTATTTATTTATAAATTAAATCATTTATAGATTCTTCCAAAACGGTGGCTTATGATATTTCTACAATCCTCATTTACTATTTTTGTTTGTAGGGTACGACGTATCAATTACATAGAAGGTCGGTTACAACATAAATGTCGTAATTTCCGCTAACGTTGGGACAATAGATTAAGGAATATCACAAATTTTGAAACAAATTTGAAGTTTAAGGACCTAATTGAGGAAACATTAAAACTCTAGTGACCCAGTTGAGATATTTCTGAAACTTCAGTGACTCCAGATGAAATATACCCATGTTATACATATCAGTGAAACAAATTTTCAACTCGCACGACAGTTTCCTTCAATATATATATATATAATATTTTTTTTTCTCTTTCTGAATCTGAGAGAGTAATCCACAAAGCCGCAAATTATACTTCATTGCAATGGGTCATTTCTTTCAAAGCTATGTTGTTAGCCTTGCCTAATCGTCTATTTCTCTATTTTAATCGGTCAAAAGCTTGTGATATGCAGAGCTCGCTTGATTGCTGAAACTTTTTTCTTAACTGTAATATATTTGTTCTGGGCAGCCATTCTTACTTTAGAGGTAACTGTAATTTATTTGAGTATCTTCAATTTGATGTATTTTTTATTTTCTTTTGGAAATTTAACACCGTGATTGGTTTGGATTTAATCGCATTTGCTAATTTCATTGACTGTTTTTGTTGATTTGTTCTGTTAGGACATCAATTGTATGGTTTAATTTATTTTTATTTTTGTTTAATTTGATTGGCGGCACGTGATTTTCTTGAACTCCATTGAGCTTAGTTTGTGCGAATATTCTGTCATGTGTTAAATGAACTGCTTTCGATTCCCCTTTTTATTTTCCGTTGTATAAGCTTAAGTTTTTTAAAGAGGTCAGGTAGTATTAGATGCATAGATTAATTTGGAGAATTCTTCTATGAATTAATGAAATGCAAGATAAAATTGTATTTCTGAAATGAACACTAAGATTCTTAACTCGTGTTTATTCTGTTTTAGATGAAACAATTGATGGGAACAATTCAAGGATGTGTAAATATGGCATGTGGGTTGGTGTGTCATGTTTGTAGTTCTAATCTTACTCAGACATATTTAAATTTTGTTGATCTTGCCAATGTGGTATAACTCAAGATCAAGAACCAAAAGCTGAGAATGATAACTAGTAGGTCCATTTGAATCCAAACAATAGTACGGGCAGATTTGTGTACTCTCGCGTATCACAAATTTACTAGCATGTGCAAACGTGCACAAGAAATCCATACATATGTAGACCTGTGCTTACATTATCCTATCCCAAACCATGTTGCAAACTTTTTATTTCTTTCTTGATATTTGTCTTGAAGGACATTTGAGTCATGATTAACAATTAGCTTTTAAATGCCAATAGACATCCAAATGGTACTCTGTTCAACGTTTCTCCTATGTTACTGCTGTCTAGAAGATACATTGTAACAAATTGGCATGTTGACAAATCAATTAGGACCATCTGATGTTCAGGTTGCTAGAAGTTGCTCTAAAAGTCTTCTGTTCTAAATCGTTGTCTTATATGAATTTCTTCTCATTTTATGAAAGTTCCTTGCACGATTATCGTCTTAACACATTGATGAAATGTCCGGTTCAATTTTTTAATCCAGGAAGGGCTTCTAGTTTGGTGGCTTCTGGAGTCTTGGAATTGCTGCTGTTGTTTTGGAATCATTTCAGTAAAAATTGAAGACGTGTAAAGTTACAGATAGTTTGTTAAATAGATGAATTGTGCATATCTATATGATTTCTTTTCATAAACCCTAAAGAGAATGAAGAGAATGAAGAGAACAAACATTCCAGAACGCTACGTGATTGTCATTTTGACCTTCATCTGTACTTCTGTCTGCTACATAGAACGTGTGGGTTTTTCCATTGCATATACTGCTGCTGCTGATGCCTCGGGAGTAAATCAATCGAGCAAGGGTATGATACTTTCGACATTCTATTATGGGTATGTGTGTTCACAAGTTCCGGGTGGTTGGGCAGCCCAGAAAGTTGGGGGAAGGCGTATTCTCCTGCTTTCATTTGTTTTATGGTCTATAACTTGTGCTTTTGTGCCACTTGATCTGAACCGAGTTACGATATTGGTCATATCCCGCTTGCTTGTCGGAGTTGCCCAAGGCTTCATCTTTCCCTCCATTCACACTATACTGGCACAATGGGTACCACCACATGAAAGATCAAGATCTGTTTCTCTGACAACTTCAGGGATGTATTTTGGTGCAGCTGCAGGAATGCTTGTGCTTCCGAGCCTGGTCAAGTTTCGAGGTCCGCAATCGGTGTTTCTTGCTGAGGCTGCTTTAGGTGCCATTTGGTCTCTACTTTGGTTTAAGTATGCCGTTGACCCACCTCGTTCTGAGCATCCAAAAGCCACTGCTGCTGGATTTGGAGAATTATTGCTGCCGATTAAAGGGAACCAAAAGACGAAAGTAGAGAATGGAGGACATTCCAACAGAACCCCACAAATTCCATGGAAGAAAATTATTTTCAGTTTGCCAGTTTGGGCAATTGTGGTGAATAATTTCACTTTCCATTATGCTCTTTACGTTCTCATGAACTGGCTTCCAACATACTTTGAATTGGGCCTCCAGCTTAGTCTTGAAGACATGGGATCTTCTAAGATGATGCCTTATTTCAACATGTTTCTGTTCTCAAATATTGGCGGGGTAATTGCTGATCACTTGATTACCAGGAGAATCTTGTCTGTGACTAGAACAAGAAAGCTTTTAAATACCATAGGATTTGTGGTGGCTTCTTTTGCATTAATGGCTCTTCCCAGGTACAGAACACCTGATGGAGTTGTGTTTTGTTCTTCTGTGGCTCTTGGTTTCTTGGCACTGGGGAGAGCTGGATTTGCAGTAAATCACATGGATGTTGCTCCAAGGTATGCTGGAATTGTAATGGGGGTTTCTAACACAGCCGGTACTTTAGCTGGCATTGTTGGGGTTGATCTTACTGGTCGACTTCTTGAAGCCGCTAAATCTGCTCAGTTGGATCTCACAAGTCCGGATAGCTGGAGAGCAGTTTTTCTCATCCCAGGGTCACTTTGTATCTTTAGTTCAATATTGTTTCTTCTATTCTCCACTGGGGAGAGAATTTTTGACTGACTCTGGTTGTCTTTCATGCAAATCATGCCTCATTTATGTTGCCCGTTTTGTCGTCATCTTCTTCTGACATATTCTGAACATTCTTTCTGCTTCATAAATGGCCACTCTCCAGACGTATACTTTCAATTTATTGGAAATCCAAGTTTTTGGGTAATTATTCGTTCGGCTTATCTTCGTGGTTAACCCTGTTGGTTGATTACTTTCATTATTTGTCATTGGCATTGTTTCTATATGATCATCGTTCTCTCTTTTAAAAGTGCAATTATCCAGTAAAATTGCATTCAATATCATAGAGATTATGATAAAAATCTTGAACTGAAACGAGATAAGGTTAAGTGGTAAGAGCATGCTTCGTAAAATTTACGAGTCAAATTAATTTGTAAGTTATAAAACAAACAGGGACCAAGTATAGTTTGAAGGACCAGAGAGAAATGTCACGAGGAGTATAGAGGCAATTTTAGAAATCTATATTGTCCACAAATTCCTCCGGTTTATCGCATTTCCTTTGGTGGACCATAAAAAAAAAAAATGAAAAAACCAGTTTTCATCCTTTTTGACCTTCGAAAACATATATATAGAATTGACTGTTTTCATGCATCCCACAATTCTTCCATCTCAAAAATCGATTCTTTTTCTCTCAAATACCACAAATAATCTCTTTCCCTCGAGCCAAAAATGGAGGACGAGCACGAGATGTCGAGTTTGAGATCGAGGCTCAAGAAATCTTCTATGAGCCTTACCTCTTGCTTCAATGGATCCCAACACCGCCGTGGATTCTCATTAGATGCCTCTTCATCTTCCTCTTCCATGCCAAGTCCAAGAAAGTCGTCATCTATATGGACTCGCTCAAAGCCTAATGACCATATGGACACCAAAGGGAAATGCAAGCGCCGCCATAGGCGCAATGCATCTGCTGATTTTAGCTATGATCCTCTCAGTTATGCCCTCAACTTTGAGGATGCTAACCAAGTTTCCAATGGGGACAAGGAACTTCCGATAAAGAATTTCTCAGCCAGGTTACCGGCATCACCGCTGAGGGGATCCAAAATGTTGTTGGCACCCACGACGCCAAGGTCACCAACGGAGACATGCAGATTGAGTAGGAGCCTTGAGGTGTCTAATATGAAGAAGAGAACGGACGAGGTGGCTAATGCAAGGGCAGCAGCGGTGGCGGAGGTGAGGAGGAGCCTGGAGGAGCAGTCTTCGCAGGTGGCGGTCTCACATTCTTCTCGGGAGATTTTGGTTGAATTGTGTTAGCGAGATTTGGTGGCCTTTCAATCGTAAATGGTTGTGTTCAATTTCTTTGAATATTAATTCTTTGTTTTCCAGAATCAAACGTTAATATTCTTGATTTCACTTGTTTATATAATGCTGATGGTTTGACAGAATGATGATCAAATTCCTTCTCTTAACTTCTCTTCCTTCTTTTCATTTTGGTTGTTCATTAAGCCCATGTTTGGTTGAGATCAAAATCAAATTTTTAATAGATTTTGATAAAAGTTGATGAAATGCGTGGTTGAAAAAGTTATGGATCTCATGAAATATATGGATAAAATTCCGCCCCACCCCTAGAGTATTGTGGAGGAGATAAATCGCGGAATGTACCTCACCATGTCAGGATACAAGAATTGTCATACTGGTGTCCACAAAAAGTCCAATTACATACCTTGTAAGAGGCGGGAATCGATCTCTCACACTGCGACTGTCAGCTCAACTAAGACTACCTCATTCATGTCCTTTGCACCACTGAGCTATACTCCGGGAGGCGACAACATGATTATTGTTTGGCTCTATCAGCATTACTCAATAAAATTTACGAGAAAGAGTATAGTTTTTAAATAAACTTGAAACTTGCAACTTTCTTCGTTGATGGAAATGCCTAAATTTGTATGAAATCCATCAAAAAAAAAGATACAGGGATTTTAGTATTACTTCTAAAGAGAAAATCATATATTCAGAATTGACAAAAGGAATTCAAAAATAGACATCATTTAGAAAAAATAAGAAGTGGTGAGCACTTTTCACATTTGCTCTCTTTAAGTTACCTCAACTATTTTTATTTTATTTTTCCTAGCAATCCAAATGAAGCTAGAATGTTCTTGTTCATAGTAGTAAGCCTCAATCTTATGTTTGATGGTCATTATTTGAAAAAAAATAAGATTTTAAATAGTGATTTTTAGGAAAATGTGTGATTAAAAAATAGAGAAAAATTTTGAATTTACGTGTAAAATATTTTATTGCGAGAATGTGTGATTGAAAATGAGTATATAGAAAAAAAGAATTTTCAAATAATAGACGTCAACCATGGCTGAGTCGAGAGAGAGGGACCAAAATATTGCCAAGTATGTTACTGCATTATAGATCTTTTAATGTAAATAGAGATGAATTTGAGTTGCTAAAAAAAACAAAAATCAATATACTCCAAATTAATTGAGAAGAATTTTTAGTTTGTTATTATCAGGGGCGGACCCAGCCTGTCGAAGTAGAGGGGTTCTAGAGTTAAAGGGGTGGGGGGACCACGGGAGTTCGAGGGCAGCGCCCTCGAATTTTTTTTTTAAAACATTATATGTTAAAATGAGGGAAGTTGGTATTTTGTGATGGAGATATGAAACAAATGAACATAAATTAATATACATTATTAACAAAAAAAAAATCAAGAAACGTATAAAAGAAAGTATTAATATTTAATTTAGCAAAATCATACCTTATTACAAGCGTTCCTTTTGAGTTTAAGTTTTTGGATTGGTAGGGTTTAAGTTTTTTATTCATTTGAGGATAAAATGGTAAATACAAAAAATAANGAGGATAAAATGATAAATACAAAAAATAAAATTTTAAAGTAAAAAAAATTGTCAAAAAATTTGAAGAGGGGGGGTGGGGCCGGTCCCTCCTGGTTATTATCGATGCACATTTGATCTATCTTTGACATCCAAATACATATCTAAGTTTTGTCTACCAGGTCTACCAGAAATCATCAAAGGGCTAACTATAAAAAGTGTCAAAAAAAAAAAAAAAGGAGGAAGTAGTGACATCCGTTGCAAGGGCAAAGTGTAATGTTATTTAGCACGAGTAATGCTATTCATAGTTAAGGCTATCGATAGTCGTCCTACGTGGTATACACATGTCAGTTTGTTATTTGATGCATTGATGTGATTGTATTTTATTGCTTCGTACATTAAATAACAAACTACATGTACATGCAATTTATGGTGACTACCGATAGTTTTCACTATGAATATCATTATTCATTTAGCCCCACTAGTATTTAACACCAATTTAGGATGCAAGATTAGTGATATTAAATAACAAGTTCAATTAAATGAATCTTATAATTTCATTTTTAATTCAACCTATCATATAACACCACATAAATTGGTGTTGGATAGCATTATTCTAAAAATAAACATAAGTCCTTGTTATATGTAACTTAAAGAGTTGATAAAAATTAAAGTCAAAATCAACAATTAATTTTAACCATGCATTCTATGGGACCACTACTTTTTATCAACTTTTCAACCAGATATTTCATAACTTTGATCAAATCTACTAAAGTCTGACTTTAGCTACATGGGCCAAGTTGGAAAGTATCCAAGTACCCAAATCAATCAAAATTGTAGCAATTGTATACTATCAATAATTCCAACACCATGCCATAGATTATTGAACTGTACACTAAAATACTATTCCTATTTTATACACAAATATGGAAATAACAAAAATCGGATAAGACCATGAAAGCATGGGCAATACTATTTCCATCAAGTTGTAGTGTATCTATAAAGCTTAATTGCCAAGGAACAAACATCTAATGCAATAGGCTGTTCCTTGGTATCAGAGAGGAGCAAAATCATCCACCGTCACCTCTACATCAACATTAGTGAACTCTTTCCGCCACTCCATGGTGTAATAAGTGCAACCAAAAGCGAAAACTTTCCGGATTAAAATATAGTATATGAAGTGGAAATATAAATAGTGGAATCAACATTAGTGAACTCTTTCCGCCACTCCATGGTGTAATTAGTGCAACCAAAAGCGAAAACTTTCCGGATTAAAATATAGTTTATGAAGTGGAAATAAAAATAGTGGTTACTTTAGAAGCTTCAATCAATTACGTGAAATGATCGTCCCTGTTTTCACCTGCATTACTTATTCAAATTAAATCAGTGGTATATCCTTAAAATTTCCTACTAAAACTGTGTATGTACATATAGATTCGGACACCTTTTTGTGTTTGCTTTTCAAGGATGTGGAGGAGGAAGGAGTACTATGCCAGTTCCTCTTCCTTTGATTGATGAACCAGTTATTTATCTGTTTCAGTTGCAAGCCTGTTTCTTGCACCAATATTGCCTTATCTTCCTCCTGCAAAGTACATATTAACCACAGGAGTTTAATTACCTGAACAGGCTACTAAAAGTAAACTAAAATCAAATGGCGTCTAATAGAGATTTCCCTATTGCCACCACAACTAATTCAGACCAATCCAATAAAAGGCAGAAATAATAAATTTGAACAGGTTTACACTAGTGCTCTAATTAGTAATTGCATGTAAACAATACTGAACCGTCATTGTTTTTCACTTTCTTAATCAATTTGTCCAAGAAGGCATTATGTAATTCTCAATCTGAAACGTACGGTAGGGTATGGCCACTTTGAATGTGATTGCCACCAAGCCTTTAGCGTTGAGGTAGTATCACCAGGGAGCTTTCCTGCCCTTCTCTTGCGTAAAATTTCCTCCCTAATGTCCACAATCTTTTCTTTGTAACCCTGTGAGGAGGAAAAATAAAAAGGAATGGTTAGTGATATACGGTTGAACAAAATGATTCTTGACAAACTGTTAGGTACTTCATACCTGTTTCAACTCATGCTTTAGCTCCTGCCTTACACGCTCCATTAATGACCTTTCAGTCTCTGTTGGGATCATAGGACCAAATCCCATACTGTCAGTACCATCTACACTTCCAGTTCCATCAAACATATTCACATCACTTTCTACCTGGTCCTCATCGTCATCAGACATTGTAGCACCTGTTCCTTCTCCTGCAGAAACTCCTGCTCACGAAGCATGTGATGGTAAACTTTAGCTTTACGCCATTTTTTGGCTGTTCAATGCATAGTTAGCAAGCATTCAGAAGATTTAATTCTACCTCATATTGAGAACCATTGAAGGCTACAATTACAACAGTAATTAAATTGTGTCCATGTCAGTAGAGACTGAGAATTGTGATATTCTCATGAAAGCAGGAGAAACCCTACCCTGCAATTACACAATGGTGATCTACTATCGCACACTTCTTCAAGCCCCATTTGGCAATCTACTAGCAAACGAGTGCTTTCGTGTCTATTGTATGTTTGAATATTCCATTGTTTCTAATCTGTAATGATTTCTCAAGAAAACCGAAGCCTAAAGAATTTTAATTTTGTATTAAAGTTTCATTATAAATTGAGGGGAGCTCAAAACTGTTGGAATGTGTTGCAGTATTTAGTGTAACGACTCGGCCTCTGTGCGTATCATACGCACTGTGAGCTGTGGGAGAGCCTGAGCCCATCTTCTTCCTCATGGATTTCTATTATGTCTCTAGAATTCAAACCTAAAACTTCTGCCTTATGAGACATTTAAGTTGAATTTGCAACAAATCTTCTTTTTCTATAGCATTGCTTCTATGGGAGCACTAGTCGCAGCGAAAGTCAAAAGGCTTCTAGCTCATAGTTCAATTGGATATGTAGGTTACATTCGTATTGGTTTCTCACATGGAACCATAGAAGGAATCCAATCACTACTAATTCAACTTAAGTTTCTCATAAAGTAGAAGTTTCGAGTTCAAATCCTAGGGACGCAATAGAAATACATGGAAGTAAAATGGGTCCAGTCTCTCCCACAGCGGACAGTACAACTAATATAACGGTTTGGGCAGAGGCCGGGTCGTTACATTTAGTAGGCAAGAACCTTCTTGTGCATCAACTTCTCCAATCTGCAACTAACTGTCACTCGTGAAGCATGTCCGGTCTCCTGATTTTTGCCATGCATTTTCCTGATTCTGCTTAAAACCAATTGGTCACCAATGAAGGAGCTGCAGCAGGGACTAAATATACTGGAAATTGTTTACAAATTAACACCTATGGGTAAAATGAAGTAATCGGAATGACAGAAAAACAAAATACGATAACTGTACAATCTAGCTTCAAATTGGTGACAGGCACCAGTGGACTTGCTTTAAATCTTCTATGATGTAGAGGCATCCAATTGAAAGAGTGAGAGTGAGGGTAGTGCTGATCAGTACCTATACAACTGATTTTGTAAAGTAAACCCGTGGGCAGAACTTGACGGTCCGTTTCTTGTGTAAATAACAATATATTTTATGGGATCTCAAGAGGAAGAAAAATAGAGAAGCATCACCTGTTATGCTTTGTAATGATTGCTCAATCTGCCAGCAACCCATAACTGCTTCCATTGCGTGAACACGCACATGCTGCTGAAGTTGTTCTTTAAATGAACATAATAACAAGACATAATGTGTCTACACAAAAAGAAAAAAAAATGTGAAAAAAAAAACAGCTATGATATTTTTAAATGTGTAAAAGTCCACATCGACTCCCCAATAAGAATATTGTGCAACTATAGCTGTATTAATACTGGGAAAAGTTAAATTGAAACAAAGTTAAATACTTCGTGAGTTTAAGATAATAGTTCAACACTTCATACGAAATATACAGTTGGGTAGCACATAATAATTCTAATGATAATAATAGAAAATAACACCAAAGACGTTGATGGAAATATAGATATTATTTAATTTAGTTTCCAATTTTAATGCTAATTTTAGAAAACATAACTAGGGTTTGATTTCATAGATTTTATACTAATTTTCTACTTCAATTAGGACTAATTTAAACCCTATATAAAGGGGCTTATGCATTGTAATTCTTACAACTTCGGTAATGAAATAAAGATATTTTTCTCTGTTAAATTTTGCTTCCGTTTATCTAATCTTCCTCCCTTTCCATCTCTAGGTAACTGCATAAAAATTGGAACCAAAAATCTTAACCTCCGAAAAACACACTTTTGACTGATATAAAATACAAAAAGTTAAGGCAAGCAACAGAAAAGTGAAATTTGTTGAATAAGCAGCTCAAACAACATGGTAAGACAAATTTATATAGAAGGAAATGTTTTTCTCATGTTATGTCTAAGTTACTGCTCCTAAAATATGACTCAATGTGAAGCAAATGTAGGAGCACAAAAGCATATTCAGTCAACTAAGTTTGTACTCTTAACGCAGTAAAATTTGGTGCCACTCCGAAATAAAAATCATGAAAATCCACGTATACATGCCTTGCAAACTATTTGCCATATTTTTACTTGGGGAAAAACCACAACAAAATCGCCCATGAAGCATCATCAGGTTGTCTCCAGGCTCCAGCTATAAAATCAATTAATCCTCATGAAATGGCTTTCTATAGATGAGAGCAGAAACAATAACCAAATGTATCAAATGCAGGATGACTAAATTTATCGAATCTAGTGTCAATAAAAATTAAGCAAGAATTTGCTAATCTTATGTTCAATCTCATTCTAAGTTCAGGAATGACCTAAAATTCTCAGGGCATCTGCTGGTACGACCAATCAGCAACAGGTAGCAAGTTTTAATGAATGAAGAACCACTCGAGCAAAACTAATTAACATAGGTAATTGCAATTGACCAGAAAATCAATAATGAAATCCTTTTGTAAGAGAAAATAGTGAACCTAAGGTCATAACAAAAACCTCCGTTAGAATCAACAATCAAGCATCTGCAGTTAGAAAAATTACACAGCTCAATTTTACAGGACTCCTATTATCAGATTATGGTATCGAATGATGTCAGGTGTAGAATACTCACTGTTACAAGTTCAATCCTGTCGTGAATCTCACTTTCAGATTCTGTTGATGTAATGTCCTCACACTCAGACATAGATGTATCACTACCATGAAGCTACATATAAACATATTTCTTGGCAACAAAGTATATTAGACACTGATTTTGGCAACACAAGCCATCATCAAAAGCTTGAGACTACAGTTTGAAAGTTTCCATACTTCTAATTTTCATAATATTTGGAGATCTGGAATCCCCATCACCAGCAGTATGTTGGCTTTTCCCTATAAACTTCTCATAGATAAGATTCCAGTCAGATTATGAATACCAGATATTATTTGCTCAGGAAAATCATTCTAATAATTGAAGCCGCTGCCTTGAAGTGAATTAATAAACAACACATGTTGGCTAAGAAGCTTTTCATTTCATAGCGATTTAATCCACTAGAGTAGTCAAGAAATCTTCTAAGCTTGGAACAACCAGTCCTTGAAGACAATGATTCATGAACCACCTAGGCTCCTATTGTTTAAACCTTTTGCCACATTCAAGAAAATCAACATAGAAGATCGTATTTCTAATTTACTGAATACACCTGGAAAATCAGTCAGGCAAACATACACAACAATTCATGGAGAAAGACTACAATTCGAATTAAGACAGAAAATTTGGAACTCGAAATGTAACAAATCACAAAGAAACAAAATTAGAACCAGGCCCTCAAATCCCTTCATCATTTAATTTCACCAAAAATTGAAGTCCAAATGACATGGATAAAAAGTAATTAAATTCCTCAATTTATATAAGCCACTAACTAAAAATGCCACCAAAAGAAGTCAAATAAAGGAAACTCTTGAACTTTTGCATAATAGTAAGAAGAGAGTCAAAATAAGAAAAAAGTCTTACCATAAACTGATCAAGCTCTTTATCATCGCCGTGATTTCCATGTTGAAGCGCGGAGTATTTAGCGACCACTTGCTGTGACTGTTCAAGCTTAGCTTCGATCCTCGGGAGCTGATCCACCGGCGTCGCGATTCGCAAGCAAGCCACATGTGCAGACAAGAGCTGCTCATACAAAGGATGCGACAAAATCTCTGCTTTGTACCTCGAATTTTGCCAATTAATTACTCCTTCACCACCGCCGCTGCCGCCCTCCGTTAACTCTCTGTTTTCATTTCTGCCAGAGTGAGTGTTATTATTGTGGTGGTTGCTTAAATCAGTGGATTCATGAGAAATTGAGGCGCCGATCATCGAATCACTGGACACCTGAACATCATCCCTCACGTCACTGACATTTCGATGCAAAACTGACCGTGAAAACCACTGATTATTCGAAACCTGCGACGGCTCTGCAGTGGAGTCAGAGTTTGTTTGCAGATTGAGGAAATTCTCGTTGCCGGTGGATGAGAATTGACTCTGCTGGCGGAGAATAGCGCTGTTCAGCCACGTAGGCGGCTGGTGGTGGTGCTCCGGGGAGTGAGCCGCCATTTGTTCGGGGAGTATATTGCTTAAAGCAGAGGAGTTTTGTTCGGAAAAATGCTGTAGAGCCATTTCTTGTGAGAATTGGGTCGGAAAAGCCATTGTTGTAAAATGGATATAAAAAAATGTCTGTATTTATACGAATTTCTAATTCGAAAGTCTGCAACTGTAAGTTTTAAATTCTTTTTCCCTTTAAATTATATTAACACCACAATATTTATTTATTGTACCATATTTTAATTATACTTAAGATTCTCGACCTTTATTCATTATAGTATTATGCTCCTAACGATTTTTCATGTCATTTTTATATTCAAACTAAATATTAACACATTTTGCATTTGATAGCAGTTTATATTTAAAAAGTTCATTGAAGTAGCGTATAAAAACCTTTTTTTTCCATCATATTTAAAGATAAATAAATAAAAAGTACAAAAAATATTTTTTTTCCCAAAGAAACAAAATATTTTAACATAATACTAATTAATGAATGGTTGAAGATAAGAATTAGATAAAAAAAAATTAAGAAAATAATTGCTACAACGAGTAAAGATTGATAAGTTTAATTTCAATTAAAATGTAGTGTAATAAATAAAAATTGTGGTGACAGTATAACCACTTTTCATAATTTCTAGTTTTCTTTATTCTTGAACAAATATACCCTTGTTCCCAAATTCTTGCACTACATTTTTGCACGAACTTAGAGGCATGTTTGGTAAAGATTTTTCGAAAATGGCTTCGATACAAAGT